GAGGAGGACTCGCAAGCCGAGACCAAATCCCTGAGTTTCAGGCAAGTACACCGCATCCCAGCCGAGATGCAGGCGCGCGCCATCCTCCTTCCGCGGTCATGCTGTGTGCGCGCCACCGTGTTCCCGGCTCTGCTGCGTCTTGCCCCCTGCCGGGTCCCCGCTGTGCACCCGAAAGTTCGGGATGTTCTGTCTGCCTGTGTGCTTTTCGTCCCCTGTCTTCGCTGTGAGCTTTCGGAACCCAGCCCCGAATCCGCAGTCTCCGCATCCCGGTTTGCCTGGCTCGCTTCCTCTGAGCGTTGACACCCCGGCTTCGACACAGCCACACCGGCTAGTGTCAGTTATGAGGCCAGGTGGGATTTGTAGCTTTTCCCCTGTGCGCTGGGAATCGCTCCCCCACCCTCCTTGGCCCCGCAGTGTCCTAAAATGCAGCCATGGTAAAAAAGGATCGCGTGATGACAGGCCCCTGGCAGCTGGCGAGAAATGGTGGTCTCTGCTGAGCTGTCACACGTGTGATTGTGGAAGGCAGGTGACGGCGTTTTCAGCCGCGAGTGACTTTGAGACAGGTAGAGGCCTACCAAGGCATGGCTAGAATTGGCTTAGTTTGGGGGTGGGGCAGTATTAATTTTTAAGCCTCTGGAAAAGGGGTCTATTACGAGGAAAGGAATTGATTGAAATGCTCCCGCCCCCTCCGAGTGTGAAAGGCAAAGATGACCTCAAAAATAAGTGATGCTGGTGAGAAGCTCCAGAGGACGGAAGAGATTTCCGGGAGCTAGGATGCTGGGCATCGCTGAAAAACCGCAGCATCCTCTCTCAGCCGGGTTGAGGATTGGTTGGTTGTAAAGTTAGATGGAGGTGCTGCACTTGCACCTTTGTGAATAAGTACATTTAAAAGGCAGTTGGAAATACCGTTGACTGTGGTAATGCCTCATTTTTCCCCCTTGGCAGCTCGGATTCTGAAGGTAATTTTGAAACTCCTGGAGCTGAAACTCCAATCAGATCGCCTCTCAAGGAGTCTTGTGATTCATCCCTAGGATTGGCAGAACCCGAGGCCAAAAACCAAGGTAATAAAACTTTAACTTTCGACCTCTTTGATTTTAACTGGGGGGGGGGCAAAAAGGGGTGTGTGTGTGTGTACCTCCAGGACCGCTTCAGAGAAGTTAGATTGTCTCCTTGCTCCGGAAGAGATATCTTAAAGCTCTTGCTGGTTGGGAAAGGCTGTTTGCCTTTTGTTTTGTAAAATAAACGCTTTGATAGGTTGATGACTCAAAATTGCCTTTTTTTTTTTTTTTCCTCTGAAGAGAGATTGTGCATTGGGAGTATGAGATTATTGGTATTCTCAACCATTTTGGTTAGAATTCCTCCTCATCCCGGACTAAGTAAAAGTTGTGCTGCAGAGACTGGTTGGTTGGGTTATGTTTAGATCTGCCTGCACAGATTCCACAGTCTAGTTGTTTTCTACAAGGGTGTGGCTAGACACAAAATTATAGGTAAGAGTTGATTTTTGAGTTAGGAATCTTAAGCAGTTTCAAATTGCTTGCCTTTCCTTCCCATCAAGGACTGGTGGGGAGCCCTTCAGTCTAACCAAGAAAATCTGATATACATATTCTCTCCTGTCCCTGCAGAGCCCAATTTGATACCTGCCCTTTAATTGTAGATATTTCTGGCTAACTAAATTAATAGCAATTTTCTTTCTTTTTTTTTTTTTGTCGATTTTTCTTTTCTGAGACAGGATCTCAGCCTAGGCTGGCCTTGAAACTTACTATGTAGCTGAATATAACTTGAACTGATCCTGCTGTCTCCCAACTCCTGGAATGATAGGCCCACGCCTCCACACTTGGTTTATTGTTGTGTAGTTTTGAATGAAATTTCACTTGTTCTAATAGGAATTAGTTTGTTCCTTCAGTAAGTAGAGGCACTGCGATACAAAAGTGGAATTCCTGATCTCACTGAGCAACATTTTAGAGGGAGGTAAACCTTTAAGGGTTCAAAGCAAATATCTGTTGGGTTATGTTAAGTTCTGTGGAGAACAGTTGGGGGTGGGGGGATGAGGATACACATGGCCTCTATGAGCCTGGTTAGTAAATTCTGGAAGTTAGTTTAGGGGACCATGGTAGAGAAGGTAACTGGAACAGACTCCTAAGGGGAGGATTGAGGAAACCAAGCTTGTGTGTGCTTTTTTGGGAGAAGAACCTTTTCTGCAAAGGGAGCAGCCCGAAAGTGGTTGGGCCTTAGGGTGTGGAGAATCACACATTCTGGAGGAGCAGGCAGACGCCAGTACTGCCCAGTGGACTGCCTAGTGGCGGCTAGTAATAGGAGCTGAAGTCAGCAAGGCGAGAGGCAGGCCAAGTGATACATACAGTGGATGGTTAGGTTTTCTGGGTGAGACAGAAAGGGAACGTAGGGTAACTGAACAAAACACCATACCGAGTGGCTCAGAACAAGTTTACTTTCATAGTTCCCAAGAACTTATCCAAATCGGAAGTCAGTGCTCCTGAAGACT